AAATCAAGAAATGCTCAGGAAACCTTATGGGCTACAAAAACCAAAGAACCAATTTGAATGTAGTGATGGCAAAATTGGTTTTACAATCTCACAAGGGAAATTGTTATTAACAGTCCAAAAAGGTCATCTGACACACCTCTTTCCTTTATTTTGTAATTAGTGACAAGAACAGATGTTAAATATTTAGCGTACTCCTCAGCACCAACCATCGTAATCTGTAAACTTGAGGCTTCTCACTGTGTGTGTGTGTGTGTTGGAGATAAGTGTTGTTTTATCTCCAGAAGATGAAGAACCGTTAAACAAGAGCGTCCAAAATGACTCAAAACCAAAATGTATTTATGTGATCAGTATAACCGCAGTTTCCTATCGATCAATACGTTATAACAGCAGTTTAACAAAGCCAAGAGAAGTAGAATCTGGCACTGTCATATAGGAATGCCTATCATCATAAGGAGCAAGGCTTCCATGAAAGTTTACACATGTGGAGAGGTGCAAGATAGATTAAGGGTTATTGTGCCAATTCAAACATTAAAAAAAAGAAAAAGAACAGTTCAGCTAAAGTCCACCTCTGTTTATCTAGAAGCAAGAAATGTGCATAAGTTATATTAGAAAAAGGAATGAACTTACATCATGGCGATGAAACCATCTAAGGCATTGTTCTTCTTGGCTCTCCCCTGTGAAATAACCCAATTTTATTATTAAAAACAAGAGCTCACAGACAAGTAAAAAGCTTGTCGACCAAAGAAAAAGACAAGTACAAAACTTGGGGCTTGTTTGGTTTCCTTCCCGGATCCAATTTTTTGTTTTCACAAATGATGAATGTAGCTAAATTCCTTCATTCTCATTAGTCTCAAAACAAAAAATTGGCTTCTATTGATAAAAGGTATTTAACAAGGAAAAAGATATCGTATAGATGTATATTCAGTCACCTTTTTATGAACCAACCGAAAACTCTCCTCTTCTTCAGGCTCAAAATCCTCACATTTTCTGAGACATGAAATACTCGGAAATCAAATGAAGTTGCAATAAACCATATAACAAAATTTTGGAATATTGAACTGAATATTACAAAGAAGAAACAAAAAAATGGAGGAGAAAGTATGAACTTACGGCATAAAGCTGAAACAAATACGAAGTGTACCATAATGTCCTATGTGGAAATCACACACACTAGAATCTAAAGTCTTGATATGCATTGTTTCATCATCACAGACAATTTCGAATGTGGTGATAAACATCTCTTGAGACTCCTTCCAATCAGTTGAGATAGTTTGAAGAAGACAGAACTCCAACTTCCCCAAATGAACCAAATACTCTGTTGGCCTAGAAATACGACCAGATTCCGTACTGTCCGCAACCCTACTCTCCAGTCCTGGCAAAAAGAATGGTTCCTCTAGCGAATAGGTAATACGACCATCATTCCCTATTTTCATCTTAAGTGAGAACGCTATAACCTTTCCACGTTGTATAGATAAGGCATATATAGAGTTGCCTACAACCACGACCCTCCCTCGAAAAGCAGAATAATAAGCTTCCTTTCTAGATATATCAACTTGATGCCAGGTATTATTGTCTATATGAAAAACCATGAACTCAAATCGAAAATTGCATGTTGAAACCAAAATACATCCATGACAAACAGCATAACCTGCTATCTGCATGTTGGACCGTTCCCGAGAATATGCAAAATGAGTAAGAGATTCCCAAGAATCAGTTTTGGAATCATACCGCTCAAACAATACCTTCGGCATTACTCGGAAGCACTGTGGAGATGCAAGATTATAAAGCTTTCCGTATGCAGACATAAGATATGAAACTGGCTTAGGTGCTAAAGGAGGCTCGAATGTTTCCAATGACAGAATGACACAGGATTCGCTCCTCGAACATTTCTCGGTCTTTCTGTCGAAACTCGCGCTCCTAATTTGCATGCGAGACCAAATTGATATTGTTCCTTTTTAAGTCAAAACATTAGTGAGATTTTTTTTCTAGTAACAAAAGAAGATGGGGGAGATCCGTCAATCGAGGTCTCTGTTGATCCTGGTTTGCCTTTTGTAGTTTGAGATCCTTCAAGAGAGACTTCTAAGGAGATCTGTCGAGTTTAGAGTTTTACTCAATTTGGTTTTTATTGTTCTTTCTTTGATTTGGGTTTTTTTGCATTTGGTACTATTTAGGAAATTAGGTGGATACAAAATTTTAGATTTGAGATTTTCTAAATCTTGGTTCAAATTAGGAATTTCTGCATTTTGGTTCTAGAATTAGGATTTTCTGTCTTCCGAAAGTTTGAACTAGGTTTTTCAATTGGATCAGAAAATGGACTTGTGGACCCGTTGGAGCCGGCCTGTTTCAAACGGTCCAAGTTAGGTTCGGTTCCATTTTTTAAAACGTGACTACTAGCCCAACCTCACCCCGTTTTATTTCCAAAAGAGTATAGTCAAGTTTCATTAAATTTAGAGCCGGCCTGGCCTGGCCTGTGCCCCCTAGTATGAACACTATTCAGGTTTTTTTTCACAAATCAAACTCAAATAAAAGGGACAGTAGAAGGGACCAAATTATGAGAACTAACTAGAGGTGCAGATTTTATAGAACAAGAAATGACAGAAACTGCTATGGTATATATTTCTTCCAATTCAAGCATCTGAAGTCGTTTCGTACTTTAAAAGGTGGTTAGCCTATTTGTATTGGTACAGAAACCGGATGAAAAAATTTTGTCTTCTCGATTTGGATTTGAGATTTCTTCAAATATTGGAAAGTGACGCCATATTAAGAGCTAGTTGATTAGTGAAGATATGATGCAAACAAAATAAGAAAGATGAATAACCAAACCATAAACAACTCCATAACATGGAAAAACTAACACTTTTTTTTCTGTTACACAATCTAATAGATGGATATTTGTTTGTACAAGTAAGAAGTAAACAACAAAAACGAATGCCATCACTTGGACACATACAGGCAATAGGTGGAATGCTGCAGCCAGTCGCCTAAGCTCATACTTAGGAGGCCACTTCACCCTCTTGCTTGATTTTCTGCAGCAAATCAAGAAATGCTCAGGAAACCTTATGGGCTACAAAAACCAAAGAACCAATTTGAATGTAGTGATGGCAAAATTGGTTTTACAATCTCATGAGGGAAATTGTTATTAACAGTCCAAAAAGGTCATCTGACACACCTCTTTCCTTTATTTTGTAATTAGTGACAAGAACAGATGTTAAATATTCAGCGTACTCCTCAGCACCAACCATCGTAATCTGTAAACTTGAGGCTTCTCACTGTGTGTGTGTGTGTGTGTGTGTGTGTGTGTGTGTGTGTGTGTGTGTGTGTGTGTGTGTTGGAGATAAGTGTTGGTTTTATCTCCAGAAGATGAAGAACCGTTAAACAAGAGCGTCCAAAATGACTCAAAACCAAAATGTATTTATGTGATCAGTATAACCGCAGTTTCCTATCGATCAATACGTTATAACAGCAGTTTAACAAAGCCAAGAGAAGTAGAATCTGGCACTATCATATAGGAATGCCTATCATCATAAGGAGCAAGGCTTCCATGAAAGTTTACACATGTGGAGAGGTGCAAGATAGATTAAGGGTTATTGTGCCAATTCACACATTAAAAAAAGAAAGAGAAAAAGAAAAAGAACAGTTCAGCTAAAGTCCACCTCTGTTTATCTAGAAGCAAGAAATGTGCATAAGTTATATTAGAAAAAGGAATGAACTTACATCATGGAGATGAAACCATCTAAGGCATTGTTCTTCTTGGCTCTCCCCTATGAAATCACCCAATTTTATTATTAAAAACAAGAGCTCACAGACGAGTAAAAAGCTTGTCGACCAAAGAAAAAGACAAGTAAAAAAAACTTGGGCCTTGTTTGGTTTCCTTCTCGGATCCAATTTTTTGTTTTCACAAATGATGAATGTAGCTAAATTCCTTCATACTCATTAGTCTCAAAACAAAAAATTGGCTTCGATTGATAAAAGGTATCTACTCCTTAATGAACAGTAATCGCCTTTTGCATCTCCACCCCTACACTGAATAGTCCTGGCAATTGACAATAAAATATTATTATTAATATTATTATTTATAATTAATATTATATTATTTACTTTGTATAAATTAATATTATATTATTAATTTATCTTTTCCTTTTGATCTTCCCGAAACTTCTACCATTTTTCTTTCTTCTTCCTTCCCACTTCTTCCTTCCCGAAATTTTCTTCCTTGCACTGCAAATTTATGTTTTACAACTCCAAATTTGATTTCGTTTTTTCTTACAAATTTCTGGAGAAGAGCACTGCAAGGTAATTGACTTTTGGGTTTACCGCAGATTTTGATATTTTGTGTGATTTCTGTTTCGTTTTTCCAGAATCCGGCGAGCTCCGTGACCAATCCCGACCAAGCTCGACCACGGTTGTTACTTACAGTGGTAAAATCTTGTTCCTTTTCATTTTAGCATCATTTTTGTGCTTAAATTACAATTTTTAATGGAGTTTTAAGTCGAGATCAGAATCGGGATGAATCCCTACCAAATATTCCGGTGTTCTCCCTTGAGGGTTCCGGTGACCCATGTTTTAAATCGTGGCTGACGTCGCCCAGACGTCAGCCTTGCATCATGTCGCCTTCGGGCTCTCGAGCTAGCAACTCGTGCCAGGCCTGTCCCTCGGGCTGCCACACGCTGGACCAAATCCGTCAGGCTCTCTGGCCCTGTTCACCCCCTGTCCCCCGAGCAAGAGCTCCCGCTGGAGCTGCTCTTAGTGGAAAAGTATGCAAACGGTAGAGTGATTCTAATTGGAGTCAAGTTTAAGAAATGAGCCTTTTAAGGACAGCTCATTCATTGAGATTTAAGGAAAGTTTGGAGGCAAGAAAAATGTTAATTGAAATCAAATTGTAATCTGCTTAAGATTATAATACCCGTTACAGATTGTTTTTCCTTCTTCGTTAGTTGGAATCAAATTGTGCTATATTGTATTTAATCAATGAAAAATGTTAATTTCACACTTCAAGCCTCTGGATCTCAATATGAATCTAAAATTTGCTTAAGACAATGGTGGGAAAATGTATTCAACGTTTTATGTTCGTATGCAATAGTAAACTGCACAATCACTATATCAGCCACTCAAACTTCACAAGTCTACATTTCTGTAAGAATCTAAAGGATAAATTGATATTGCATAATCTGCTATTCACTTCCTAAACTCTCTCTCTCTCTCTCTCTCTCTCTCTCTCTCTCTCTCTCATAATGTATCACGCAGATGTGTATGTATATTCCTATACCCTGATTTCTCCAGTTACAGAAATTACATTTATTTTTTGTCTGCAGAAACAACTCTGGTCTTCCGTGGAAGTCATATGAACAACCACAGCCCGCAGTAGCCGGCCAGGCCACACCATCTTCGTCTACAATTAGTTGAGTAAATTCCACATTCATCGTCTGTTAAACATCTGTGGTCACTACAATCATCTGGGACGTGGCAAGCACTCTCAACTTGTTCTCCGCCACATTCCCACGAATTCATTGTTGTAGGAGGACATACTTGCACACACATCGCGCTTGCTTTCCGGTCTGCACAAATTAAAACGTCACGACCAATATGAATTAGCAGGTAATGGTATACTGCACTGACCTCAAAGTATCAAATGCAGCTAAAAATTGAAAAACAAAAAAACCAATGGTTGTTTTCTCGCTAGTTGCACAGTGAAAGGGAAAAACAACTCTTACGTCTCAGCAAGGAAGAAACTATGCTGATGGTCTTCCAACTGCGTAGTTGTGACATCTCTGATGTTAGCAAAACCTCGTTCCACTTTGGTGTATAGGTTCAGAGAATTTAGAATTGACTCCCCCACTTCAATATACCATGGACCTGATAAAAGAAACAAAACGACACAAAAAATCAGAAAAGTTGTCACTTAGGGCCCAGAAATGTCTGAATTCTTACAAAATATCACCTGAACTTTTAGGTCCATGTGGAAATGAAGATAACTAATAAGAAAATTATCAAACATTTAGTTGCTTGATACAAGTCGAAAGTTGATTCCGCCAATTCAGGGCGCAGAGGATAATACTTTTCTGTGGGATGCAACGTTGATGGTCCAACAAATACCTACATTCTTTTACAGTTCATATTAGACAGTTTTCTTTTCTTTTCTTTTTTCCTTATAAGAAATACTGCGGTAACCTCTCTGGTATTACTCCACACTTTTTCAATACATTGCAGCTGCAATATCGCCAACATGAACCTAAATCATAGTTTGTATCTCAGGATTAGAAGACTCTTTCTGAGGTTGAAGTCATTATAGACCAGTATGACAAGTTTTAGATTCCCTCCCTGTAAGCCACGCCAAAATGCCTGAAGGCTTGTAAGCTGCCAATACGTTGCTTTTCCTGTCCTCATATCAGCTTCATGGTAATATGCGTTACCACAAAAACTTTGCAGCCTACTCATCTCAATTTAATCTTACAGCTAGAATCCAAACTTTTAACACTTGGAAAGTACCAATAATGAATTGAATAAGGCATTCAAAAAGGCTAGGAAGAAATGTTGTACCATGGACCATGTCTGAAATATTTCTGCACAGCAGAATGAAACATCCTCCAGAACTCATTTCCAACAAGGATGTGGCCCTTAAATAGATAGTCATCCCCTAAACGAAGAAACACATAATCCAACATCAGAAACATCAAACTCTACGCACTAAAAATACATTTAAGGAATGGGCACGGCAACAGATTGCACAAGGAAATATTGGCCCTTGTACTATTTGGGAAACCCAGTAAACTACTAAATATACTTGTAATGCGGTGCATTAAAGTTCTCAAAGCCCCGATGAAACCTACCAGCTCCAATTCCGGAAGAATACACAATCCATTCACCAGTTGATATATCCAGCGTTGTACCGAGTAAATTCAACGAACTGCACATGCCCCATAATTCACGAAGAGCACATAAAGCTGCCGATTCATATTTGGGGTCTCCAATCAATCGGGACAATGCTCCCATTCCCAGAATTAGAGAACCTGAATTCATACGAAAAATCATGAGATTCAGGAAAGTCAAATTTATTGATGTCCTCATCTGAATGCTGCAAAAGAAAGCCCCTCACCACACCCTGAAGTGCTCATTTCAGTAGTCTCATTCTCCATCACTCCATCCACAGAATTTAGCGTTGATGCGGAGTCATATATCCTTCTTACAAAGAAAACCACCAAACAATTTTGTATAGTTTTGAAACTTGAACTCTTGAAAAGATTATGCAAGATACAACCAAGTAAACGTAATTGTATAGACTCATTCGGTTGCGCTCCCATAATCGATAGTGGCTTTTAGGTCTTGACTCATTCGGTTGTACATTCTGGTTGAATTCCAGCCCATATACCTCGAAAAAGGATCAACTTGGAACATGATATTAAAGTCATGTTGAGATATAATATTTTGTTCAAAGGCCTGACCTATCCGGAAGAAGTACTTCAGTCTCTTCTGAGAACTCATGAGGAAAGGGTGTCTAATGAGTTTTTCAACATAGCTTTCGAACCTATGAAAACATATTTAGAAGGACAGAGAGCAATACATATGTTAGGTGTACTTATTGCATAAATGTTGTCTTGTTCCAGGTGACTAAGGAACGCATGGTTAATTACTCACTCTCTTGTTTTTGAATTTGATATCAAGGATTGAGAAACATTTAAAGCACATTTATTTATTCTCTCCTCCATTGATATCAAATGTAACGGTGAGTGACCATGAAATCTTGGTACCAATAGAGAATGGGACTCATAGCCATTATATCAAAGCATTCTTACTCTATAGGTTTGTCGAAGAAATCCAGAAACAAGTTTAGGTCCCTCCATGTCTTTGGCAACCTTTCCCTTAGAAAGTCTCTGAATTGTATGAAGTCGTTCCTCATGCTTGCTTTAGACATGGTAGCATTCTGAGACTTGATATTTATAAGTTTTAATTCCCCGTCTTGAATGATATAACTGGAATGCATGTCCAAACCAGAGTGGGTTAGTTTCTGTTTGTGGGTGGACGCAATGCTCTTCAGGATTCTCCTGCAACATTTAAACAACAAAAGAAGAAAGGTAATTACTTGATTGATGCAAATGTATTCAAAAGATAATTCAACAGAAGAAGAATAATTACTTGATTGATTTGAGCCACCACATTTATCAAATCCTTATCAAAAATGTTAAGTGATAAAAAAATTAAAAAAATTAAGGGGCACTTGTTCCTACTAAAGAAGCAGATGCAATAGAGGCATAGGTGGTTTAAGAACCAATCTGGAACCAGTTGTTTACCTTGTCGGCTCGGAACCAAAAGCATCAGTATAAGTCCCCCAGTTGCAGTTTATTCTATTGATATAAAGCTAGCTAGAGTATAGATGGAGGCAGCAGAAGCAGTGGTTGAAGCCCCCAAATGGGAACCTATCGAACGAGAATTATTAGTAGTGCTGCTCCCCAAATGGAGAAAGGGCATTAGAGCAATAGACGGAATGAGTCTTAGTTTCAATATTAATAATTCTCGTTTGATAGGTTCCCATTTGGGGGCTTCAACCACTGCTTCTGCTACCTCCATCTATACTCTAGCTGACTCTATATCAATAGAATAAACTGCAACTGGGGGACTTATACTAATGCTTTTGGTTCCAAGCCGACAAGGTAAACAACCGACTCCGGATTGGTTCTTAAACCACATATGCCTCTATTGCCTCTGCTTCTTTAGTAGGAACAAGTGCCCCTTAATTTTTTTATCACTTAACATTTTTGATAAGGATTTGATAAATGTGGTGGCTCAAATCAATCAAGTAATTATTCTTCTTCTGTTGAATTATCTTCATATCTTTTGAATAAATTTGCATCAATCAAGTAATTACCTTTCTTCTTTTGTTGTTTAAATATTGCAGGAGAATCCTGAAGAGCATTGCGTCCACCCACAAACAGAAACTAACCCACTCTGGTTTGGACAGGCATTCCAGTTATGTCATTCAAGACGGGGAATTAAAACTTATAAACATCAAGTCTCAGAATGCTATCATGTATGAAGCAAGCATGAGGAACGACTCCATACAATTCAGAGACTTTCTAAGGGAAAGGTTGCCAAAGACATGGAGGGACCTAAACTTGTTTCTGGATTTCTTCGACAAACCTATAGAGTAAGAATGCTTTGATATAATGGATATGAGTCTCATTCTCTATTGGTACCAAGATTTCATGGTTACTCACCGTTACATTTGATATCAATGGAGGAGAGAATAAATAAATGTGCTTTAAATGTTTCTCAATCCTTGATATCAAATTCAAAAACGAGAGAGTGGGTAATTAACCATGCGTTCCTTAGTCACCTGGAACAAGACAACATTTATGCAATAAGTACACCTGACATATGTATTGCTCTTTGTCCTTCTAAATAAGTTTTCTTGTTTTCACAGGTTCGAAAGCTATGTTGAAAAACTCATTAGACACCATTTCCTCATGAGTTCTCAGAAGAGACTGAAGTACTTCTTCCGGATAGGTCAGGCCTTTGAACAAAATATTATATTTAATATCATGTTTCAAGTAGCGGATCAATTCCAACGAGCCTTTCAAACTAGATCCTTTTTTGAGGTATATGGGCTGGAATTCAACCAGAATGTACAACCGAATGAGTCAAGACCTAAAAGCCACTATCGATTATGGGAAAAGTCGTTGGATAACTTACGAAGGTCATCTGTTAGTTTCGCTTGTTATGTTTTTGAGGAATGTCTATGTGCACCGTGCCAATTCTGGGAAATATGAGGTTCTTGACAAGGAGGTCAATAGATTATATCCTGGATTTTTAAGCAATTTGCACGAGTTATTGCCATCAAAGGAAGAACTGAATCAACCAACCGTCCAAATGTAAGCCGAAGGAGAAGCAGGGCAAGGTCCAAGCACGAGGTTATTACAGGGGTAGTTTTGGATGAGATAGGCATTCGCTAGAATACGAGGGGTTTTTTTTTTCCCTCAGGCTAGAATTATAGAATAGGATAATGCTCGTTGCAGTATTAATTTATGTTTGGCAAAAATATTGTTCAATTTATTACAAATGCTTTTTTTTCTTTTAATCTCAGTATTAATTTAAACTTACGCCAGTATTGATCACAGTATCAGTAAACATAATTCAAATCATAAGCGAGTAATGAGGGATTAAGATGCTACTGCACCTGTGATTCACTATGGGTCTGCATGTCCAGCAATATCATTGTCCCTTGAGTTTGCTTTCCTCATCACTAATGTTCTCATCGCGCTCCTCGTCTGGTGTTGTATTGGTAATGTGTTCCTTCTTTGCATGTCGCTCACAGTACTCTGGCGTCCACATACCACAATGAAAAAATGTAAACAGAATACTTTACATGGCAAAAAAATCACGCGATAATAAAGAAGAATTTCCCGCTAGTTTATGCTCTGTGAGCAACCAAGGAAGAATAGCTTCTAACTTCTAAAAATACTCCCTGTATAACATCTTTGAAGCAGAAGGGACTAGCTCTGAAAATTCAGTGGAACCTTGTAAGCAAGTATTAGGCCAAAAGCATTGAATAAGGCACCGGAGATAGACTAGTAATTAGTGTCATGGTCTGTGGACGGACCATCTTGCAGAAGTCACACTCACAGCTATGAGACGATATTGGAATCCCAACTCTAGACGCGGTCAAAGGAACCAAGAAAAAGTAGGGATAGTATGGAACCATCTAATTACAATCAAGGGCTCTTTCACACACATGCTCATGTTTGGAAGGTCCACCCTCTAATATACTTATGTTATTCGCAGGAGAGTTTGTGGTGAAGGTTCAAAAATTTAGGCATTGTTTTTTTATTAGTTTGAGCATATTTAGTGAAAGAAGGGTATATTAATTGCAGATGAAGTTATACCTTTGACCTTCTGATCATAGAGTTTTCAGTCCTTCATCATCAATGATGCTGCATCACCGTTGAGCGGACCTGAAAGATTTGGATAAAGCAACAGTTGTGGAAGGAAAACTTCAAAAACTTTTAAAAGGTCTGCATCAAGAAAATCCATCACCATATATGTGAGAAATCCAAGAAGACCAAATGAAGAAGAAAAAAACAAACAAGAAGTGAAACAGAATGGAACCGCAATACATCACCGACTCGTAAAAGGGTATAATGACACAAAACCAACATTTCAGCGGTATATTGAAAAAAGAGAGTCAGAATTTTACTAAAATGGGATGATAATTACCAAACATTGGACTCCATGATTGGTTAATTACATCTTAAGCAGACAGAAGCAGATGTGCAATTACGAAAGAAAAATAAAACAGTCGGTACATACAAGATTAACAACAATAAACAATTACTCAAGTCCTGTTGCTTACTAATGAAATTAATTAGAAACCATGCTTTCAAAACAACAGACTTACAAAAAGGATTTGATAATCAACCGCAGGATAATAGCATTCTTAATTTCTAAATAAACTTGATACTTCCGCCCTGTTTGACCCAAATTTGCCGGCGTGCCACTAGAAGCAGGGGCGTCAGACATTACTTTCTTTTGAACCATGGAATTCCACATTGAATTCATTTAGCCCATCGTTTATTGTCTCCACGTTATAGTCACTCAGCAGCCTGAAAGTCATTGAGAAAAGAAAGGAGAACAAAAGCATTAGAAATAGTGTTCCAAAGCTTTATATCATACCAGAGATGAAGTTAGCAACCTGATTTTACAGCTACCAAAAATCAGAGAGACAATCTTGAAATATCACAATCATGGGAAATCTTAAACTCCACAACAGGAATTCAACTTTAAAATTGGGTCATCACAATATGATCAAACAAATGCAATTCCACCGTTTTCTGCACAGAATAATAAAGATAAAAACTTTGAGCAATAATGGGATTCCAAAAGTTCTTCTTTCCAAATTATTAGACATACCCAGTGAGGCATTATAGCATTTCACCAAAAACTTTCATTGAAAAATTGAAAGATTTTGTGAATTAATGTCATAAGTGCTTGTGAAGTCTAACAATCAAAAGCAAGCTGAAATCCTTTGAAGATCTAAGACCTACCCAGAAAACCATATACAAATGAAAATTAAAAAAAAAAAATATATATATATATATATATAAAGAGAGAGAGAGAGAGAGAGAATGAGAACTGGGTATCTTAACAAGATCTACTTAATTGAAGATTTTCCCGAGATCCAAACAGAAAATTGAGAAAATTTGGAAATGGAGAAGAAAATGCCGGGGGAGCGAATGTCGACATATTCAGAGTTCAGAGCCACGTATTCATGGTTGTAAAGATAAATTTGGTCGATAATTATTTTTTTTAGTGGTGATTCATTTCTGTTCATTTTGTTCTTCTAGTTTTTTTTTTAAGAAAATGGTTTGAAAATGTTGAGTTTTAATGATAAGGACAAAATAAAGGGTAAAGTGAATAGTATTAGGTTTAACTTTTTAGTGTAAAAATATAATTTTTCGTTAAAGTGAACAGTAGTGGACTTTTCGTTAAAGTTTTTTTTTTATTTTTTTTTTTTTTTTATCATTCGTTGATTTCAATCAGTAACATCAAACTACTATGTTACCAACATAAAGTTAAACATACATCAACAAACCCTAATTGAAAAAAAAAACCCAATCAGAACCATGATTTAAAGGTCTCACTCTAATCTTCCCCGGAGGCTGATTCGTTCTTGGTGCTGTGCTTCCTGGCATACCTCCGGTTCCTCAGAAACTTGGGGTCATCCTTTTGGTGGAAGTGTGGCGGTGCCTCTTAGGCTTCTTGATGTATGTCAATCTTCTGGGGCCTTGCGGGACTGGTGTCGACTTGGCCATCTCCGAAAGAGAATGATGGATTTAGCAGCCCTTTATGGGGGGTTTAGGCTGAGATTTTTTTGGGGTTTTCAAAGCGGTCAAGATGGGGTGGCCGTGCTGGTGAGCTGCGTTTGGGAGAGAGGGGCGCGGCAAGAGAGTGGAGAAATATGTTATATTCTGAGGGTTTGTTATTTTTCTATAAATGTCTTTATTTATAGTAAGGAGGGAGGAGAAGAATTTTCATCCTTTAAGGAAATATAATCATAATAAGAAAGTAAAACTAATGAAAAGAGTTTGAATATAATAAGAATAAAATAACCAGTAAGCAAATCTATTTAGGATTCGCACAATCAACTTTAATATAATACCGAAACGCACATTTTTTCTTCTCGATGTATCCTTGTTTTTTATCATTGAATTAAACAAGATATATACAACTATAGAAAAAGAAAAATAAAGTGTGCATATCATTTCACTAATTTATTTCCCGTTAAAAATTATTGATGATTGGTTTTCTTTTCATCCTCAAGTATGGTAAATTGTCGTAGTTATTTACATTTCCTTACCTTGTTCGTTAAACTACAACATTTTATTTTTATTTTATGTTTTTCCTTAAATGTTAATTTCTTTTTAGAGAAAATTACAATCCCTACAAATTTTCTATATTATTTAAATTAAAGATTTGATTAAAATGCTTTTACTAATAGCCACCTCAGCTTCTCTATTAAGTTAAAATACATGTCATTATTGTACTTTGTTTAATTTAAGTTAATTTTTTAATTTATCCTTATTTAAGGAAGATGTTAGTAATTAAACTATATTTTCTCTTCTTCTAGATACGTTTTTTCGATCATTTTTTTTTTGTTCTACAAACATTTAATATTATCTTCTTTTTTTCCAAATGGTTTTGTTTTTAATGGTGTTGATGCACAAAACCAGAGAGGTCTTGGAACAACACAAATCCAACCGTGAATCTGCAAGAAAGTAAAGAACACAAGATGTATCGTGGTTCACCCCAATGTTTGGGTTACGTCCACAGTGATGTTGATTGTATTTGTCTATAACTGTATGTATGGATTACAAGTGTGAGGGGGAGTCCCCCAGAGAAAGAGAGAGTTTGAGAGAGCTTTGCTCTGAATATGAGAGCCTCTGTTTGGGGATGTGAGGCTTGAGGATTGTGAGGGTGAGGAGTCCCTTTTATAGACTAAGGGCTCCTCCCCTTTTACATAGATCATGGGCTCAATGTCTAGAAGCCCAAGTAATGAGGCCCAATATAATATGGTACTAACAAATGATTTTTTTTTTTCCAAACAGTTGGTAGTTTAACATAATAGTTCCCGTGTAATTTTTTTTTTCATAAGCGAATTTGAACCACATTATTGTGGCGCGTCAATTGTGAGGCCTAGTCCACTCTCCTATAATATCACTTGATCAAAAAACAATATACTTTAAACTATATTGAAAGAAAAAAAAAGATCTTAAATCATAGATAATTATTGCTAAATTGTAGCAATATTGTGAAGATAAATTGAATCTAATCAACTTTTTTTTTTTACAATTATCTCTAAAGGACGAGAGTGTAATCAAAATGCTAGATTTTAGGGAATTTGTTTCAATATGATGTGCACTTTATTTTTAGGAAAACTAATAAAAATGACTTGAAAACTTTGAGTTTTAACGATAAGGACAAAATAAAGGGTAAAGTGAATGGTACCAGGATTGACTTTTTAGTGTAAAAATGTGGTTTTTCGTTAAGATGAACAGTACCAGGAGCTTTTCTTTAAAGTTCCATATATTTTTTGTTTCAGATTTTAGTGAAGATGGGTAGTGGTATGTTATGTAATTTTGGTAAGGGAAATGATTATACATATAGTTTTATCAAAACTTAATTAAATTCCTAAAAGGCATATAGTTTTATCAAAAGATCTTCTTTTTTTTTTCATTATAATTCTATACGTTAAACTATTATTATATTTTTGGCAAAATGTAATTACCACGAAAGCAAAACTAATTTAAGTTACATTGAAAAAACGAACAGATAAGGTTTTGTGGAATAAAGTGTTGGATTAGCGGGATCACTGGGATGTGCATTTCGAATAAATATTGGTAAATAGAGTCTGTCATAAACGAGAATAATTATTTTAATTTGTTTTTTTTTTTTGTCAAATAATTTTTTTTTGTTGAAAATAGTTTTTTTTTTTTGGTTGAAAATAATTATCAAAAACTAAAGAGGAAAAAGGATCGAGATTAGGGCCCGCGGCTAAACGAGAAAACCGAACTTTGTTTCTGCCCTCACACATGGAGAGGACTCTCGCTGGATTTTTAATCAAATAATTGAATGAAATCAATTCTTGATTCTATTTTTAATAAAATAAGTAAACTAACTCCTTACTTGATTTGATTTGCATTGCCAAATCTTTTCGCTGCTGAAAAATATTACAAAAGATTTTTATTGCTGTCCCAATCTCACGTCTCTGATTTGAGGTTTATTGGATGCCAATTTCCAACATGAATTTATCTGGAACCTATGGTGTACTATTATCGAACACCCACAAATATTATAGCATGAATGTGTTGGTAACATTTGGCGGCCATATTAAGTTACGACGAAAAGTTTCTCGACTAATCTTTGTAACCGAATTGCCAAAACTTTTCACATCCTCAAGTTTACATCGATCGAGCATCCAACATTTGGGGATGAAGAGCAAATCATATATGAAATGAGAACTCGAAACAGCGCTACATGTGTACACAACTTGAGTTACGAACAAGCCATGATTAAATCATTGATATCATTTAACGCTAGCAGCAATATTTGTGTTGTAAGAACATGATCAAAAAAAGAAAAGAAAAAAAAACTTAATATTACAACACAATGATCATCCTCCATTCTTTTTCCTTGAAAATTGTTATTTATTTAGCGCAAGCTATGCAACTCACGTATACCTGATTTTGCTTCAACATGAATGAAACAACAATGTAATTGTAATAATGAGTAAAACTAATAACATAATACAATTTAGCTCGATATTTTCACATATACATTTTTTTACGTAAAAATTCATATAATTTGTCCTCCCGTCATTCTGATGCAAACAATTTCTCTCAGCCTTGTCATTATGGATCCGTGTTTGTTCTATCGGCCTCCTTTATTTTCTCCAGTTTTGATATTTCTCTCCCCATTATGCACTTCTTCTTCTTACTGCCCTTGTTATTTTTTGGTTGCCGCTTCTTTATTTCCGGTGTTGGATTGTCTATCGGTGTTGGCATGTCCTCTTCCCTTTCCATCGTTCGTGACTGTGACTGTGATTGTGACCAATCGGTGGTAATGGCCAGAGCCACACATACAAGTCCCAACTGGAACGCTAGCGTCATGTGGAGAAATCTTGCCAGCAGGGCGACAACGATTGCTGACACATGAGGAAGAATCGCGCGCCATTGAAGGAACCCTGAAAACAATATTTAATGGCGTTAACAATTTAATACACAAATTGAGCGAACACAACGTCAAGTATGAAAAAATCTCGAAATTCGTAAAACTAAAAAGAATTGAAAAAATCATACAGAGCGCATGAAAAGGCACACATGGAAAAGATAAATTGGAGAAAACCGCCCTAAAACTCGACTTGCGTAAAACTCAAAAGAATAAAAAAATCTTACACATGGTCAGACAGTCCAAAAGCAAAGTTTGAGAGCAAATAAAAACAAGCGGTCAAGCGGCCGAAGCAGCCAGGCTCAATATTTATAAGGCACTATTCTTGCACACTTGGTATTTAGGGTTCAAAATAAGTAAGAAATATAGGGTTCAAAATAAGTAAGAAATACTGGTCCAAAATAAGGATAGTATTTAGGGTTCAAAATAAGTAAGAAATACTGGGTCCAAAATAAGGATAGTATTTAGGACAGAAGAGTAAAAAAACTAGGGTTTGCAATAAGGAAAAAATTAAGGCACAACAGTAAAATGTTAGGGTCCAAATCAAGGAAGAAATTATGGCAGAAGAGTAAAAAACTAGGGTCTGCAATTAAGGCACAATAAAATGTTAGGGTCCGAATCAAGGAAGAAATTATGGCTGAAGAGTAAAACTAGGGCATAAGAGTATTAACGAATCATGTAATTCCATCATCTATTCCTTTTAATATTTTCTCAATTTATAAAATATTTTTTTAGTATATCGATATTTTTACATTAGGGGAAATAGAAATTCGTCAAAGCCACATAATGTATAAGCTAATTTGGTATCAAATTTGCCATCTACAGTATTCGAACTTAGGATATCTCACTTCTAAGTAAAAAGGAATACCACAAAACCGTGCTACTTAGTGACAATCAACTAATGAAATTACTTAAATTTTAGGTAATGTTACAAAATTTAAATGCATGTGAAATAAAAAGAGTTGTGTACCTAATTTTATATTTCTTACACCTCTCGCACCTCGCACCTGCAAAATAACCCGTCCTCCCCTCGTACCGTAGTGGTTTTCTTTCTGAAGGGAAAAAAATAAAATAAAAAGCAGCAAATTAACCCGGCTTCCTCGGTCCTCTGCTTCTTCACCCTCCATCTCCGATACGAATCCCAATCCGCACAGAAGCCGTTTTGCCGCGCAAATGCGCGACATGGATTCTTCTCTTCATTCTGATCTCTCTCATCCTCATCAACTTATCGACCTCCGCATCGCCATCCGATCCTCGTCGGGCAGCTAAGAAGCGACGCCTCAGAGATAAAGTCCGTAAGGTGTAAGCAAACTCGAATTTCACCAGTTTCCGTTTTTCTTCGATGTTTGTAAATTTAGCTTAATGGGTATCCGTAATATTGATCAGAAATCTGGGGTTTTTAGCAAGAGTTTCTGGTTTTACTGATTTGAGTTTGTTTTGGCTGATTCTGTTAGTTTTTATTCATTATTTCTTGTAGGTTTTGCACTTTCGTTTGTATGATGTTCAAACTGGTTTCTTGGTAAAAGTTTCACCGACTCCCATGGTGAACTTGGAAATCTGAAAGTGGCTATGTATCTGTAGATAAATGAATTATGATTAATTGCAACTTGCAAAAGTAAATTAAAATGTTCCCTTACCCTATTTCAGCTTGAATACTTACCACAAGACTATAGTGGATCCGCTCTGACACTTATCGAATCGTTGTCCAGTTTTGACAGATTATGGGCTGGTTTGGTATTGCTGTGCTTTGAAAAAAAGCTGATGTGAGAATGAGCGACTGTAATGTGAAAATAAGCAATTGTGAAATAAATCAGCAGAGTGTTTGGTAAACGTTTTTGTAAAAGTGCTTTTGGAAAAAAAAAACAGTCTAATAGTGGATCTTTTCATTAAAGAAGCACTGTAGCTTCGAGTGCTTTGAAAAAAAGCCATTTTTTCAAAGCTACAAATAGCAGCTTCATCTTTTTCCTTTGATTTCAGCTTATTCTCACAGCAGCTTCCAAAATAAGTTTTTTTTTTTCAGTTTACCAAACACCTAAAACCCTCACAGCTTTTTTTCATGGATGCTTTTTTTTTAAGCACCTCACTCCCAAACTAGGTCTATGTCGCATATACGCTTCTGTTATTCTGTAATCTAAAGTACATATGCTTTAAGTTATTGCAAAAAAATTCATATAATTTGTCCTCCCGTCATTCTGATGCAAACAATTTCTCTCAGCCTTGTCATTATGGGTAACAACACTGACTTTGAAAGTGCAATTCTTTGGCTTTCCTCAAGAATCTGAAATTCAATGTCAATGCGAGGGTACATCTCTTTGAGGTATCTGTTGACGAGCTTGTCGAAAAGCTTGTTTTGGTTAAGTTATTCTGATATTCAAAAGCAATATTTATTGTCGTTCATGTTCTCTTTTTCACTTGATTGCTATTTGTAGTGCAACATAAGGTACTTGGAGGGTTTGTTTCCGCTCATTTACTTGCGACTGATTCTACAAACAGGCTGGGTCAAGGAGTTTACAAGAATCAGCTGCTTACCTTGGCTGAGGACTTAGGGAAACGCTTCCTACCTGCATTTAACACACCCACTGGATTGCCATATGTATGGATTTACTTAAAGGTAACGTCTGAGGCATGCTGAGCTCCAGTGTTTAATTACATGGTGATTTTTGCGATGCATGCATGATACGATTCTTTCTACTTCATTATCATCAGTCTCAAGATACAGTTACGTGTACTTGTATCTTGCATAATCATTTCAAGAGTTCACCTTTCAAGTTTCAAAACTATACAAAATTGTATGGTGTGGTTTTCTTTGTAAGAAGGATATATGACTCCGCATCAATGCTAAATTCTGTGGACCGTGTGGATGGAGTGATGGAGAAAGAGACTACTGAAACGAGCACTTCAGCGTGCGGTGAGGCTTTCTTTTGCGGTATTCAGATGAGGACATCAATAAATTTGACTTTCCTGAATCTCATGATTTTTCGTATGAATTCAGGTTCTCTAATTCTGGGAATGGGAGCACTGTCCCGATTGACTGGAGACCCGAAATATGAATCGGCAGCTTTATGTGCTCTTTGTGAATTATGGGGCATGTGGAGTTCGTTGAATTTACTCGGTACAATGCTGGATGTATCAACTGGTGAATGGATTGTGTATTCATCTGGAATTGGAGCTGGTAGGTTTCGTCGGGGCTTTGAGGTCTTTAATGCACTGCATTACAAGTATATTTAGTAGTTTACTGGGTTTCCCAAATAGTACAAGGGCCAATATTTCCTTGTGCAGTCTGTTGCCGCGCCCATTCCTTAAATGTATTTTAAATTAGCTGTTGTGCGAGCATTCTGGCCCGTCCCGTTTCTTAAACTTGGAGCAATTGGCTCCAATTGGAATCGCTCTACCGTTTGCATACTTTTCCACTAAACTCAATTTCAATTAAACTAGATAAAAAGCGAAATATATAGCATCCATATTGGTTCATTCTCTGTCATTTTGAATTTCTGAGACTCCGCCTCCTACCCCTCCTCTGTCCTCTCGACTCGAACCCTCTCATCTCTCTCGACTCTGTCTCTCTTCAGCCCACCTTCTTCGAGTCTCGACCCCGGCCAGCTACCGCACCATACCCTCTCTGCCTCGACCACATCACAGACAAACTACACACCTGCTGCTATCTCTCTCTCATTCTCTCGATCGAGCGACTCTCGAGCCCAAAATCGAGGTATTTGTTTTGAATTATTGTCGAAATCTAGGGTTTTGGTTTGTATTATTCTTTGATTTAAAATTGAATTTGGATTTTTGTAATTGGATTTCTTTATTTGATTAGTTTTGAATTTCTGAGCATGTTGGATTTCTACAATTGTATGTTGAGTTTCTGAGCATGATTTGTCCGTTTCATATATTGGATTTCTGAGCGTGCATGTTGAACTAGTACCGAAAAATATATACGGTTTTGAATTAGTTTTGAATTTCTGAGCATGCCTCTTGGTGCCCTAAGGTTAGATCACGGTTCAAAATATATACGGTTTTCACGTGTTCCGATTATATATATTCGAATTTACAAGATTTTATTCAGTTGCCCTTTTGAAGTTTCGATTAAATTTTTGGGCGACAGGGTTAATATTTCTGGTGGATCAATGTTTAACCTGTTGTATTGTATTAAATTTCTGACAGGGTTAATATTTCTGGTGGATTATCGTTAAATCTGTAGTATTGTTTTTCAGCACATCCATGGACATGGAGGGGGAATTAAACTCTGTATATGTGCTGGTGCGTTATGTTTCTGGTCCATATAGATGTGGATTATATGAAATAAAAATCCAAAAGGGAGGACAAGTGATGGGGCTAGGCAATGTACTCGACCCTGTCGTCACATTCTTTGATAGGAGTACTTTTGTGGTCCCAAACGAATATTTTCGAGTAGAAGGTGCGAGTTTGGCTTTGGATACTGCCACCGTGACAACCAAGTTGCCAGAAAGTTCTTCTAACACCAAATTTTACCTATTGCTGAATGAAGGGCTCAACTGTTTCAATCGCTTTGTCAACACCCGTTACAAGTACGACTCGTATAGTGGTTATACGTTTGACACAGGGACTAGGTCATTAGAAACGTTAAAGCGTCCTCTAGCATCTAAGCCAGTTTCATTTTTTATGTCTGCTTATGGCAAGCTCTATAACATTGCATCCCCAGTATGCTTCATAAAGATGCCCGACACATTGTTTGAGCGTTATAATCCTAATTCTGAATCTTGGGAATCTCTCCCCCATTTTGAATATTCTCGTGACAAGGCCCACATGGACATAACAGGTTACGCGGTTTGTTACGGCTGTATTTTGGTTTCACTAGGTCGTAGTCGAGTTGAGCTAATGGTTTATAATATAGATAGTAATACTTGGCATCAAGTCAATATTGCTAGAAGTGATGCTTATTATTGTGGTTTTCGGGGCAGGGCCGTGGTTGTGGACAATACTATCTATGCCTTATCTATACAGTGCGGGAAGGTTATAGCTTTCTCTCTCATGATAGATTCAGAGGAAGATGGCCGTATTATCTATTTTTTAGAGAAACCAGTCTTCTTTCCAGGATTGAAGAGTAGGGTTAAGGAGGATATTAAATATGGTCACGGTTTTAATCCGACCGAGTATTTGGTTCATTTGGGGAAGTTGGAGTTTTGTCTTCTCCAAGCTGCTGCTACCTGCATAGAAGACGAGTCTCAAGAGCTGTTTGTCACCACATTCAAAATTGTCCATGATGGAACCATGAATATCAAGAAATTAGATTCTAGTGTTTGTGATTTGCGCATTAAGGGTTATGGGCTATTTGACATTAATTTCAGCTTCACACCGTAAGTTTCTTCTTGACCGTTCCTTTCCTTGTTATTTAAATTTTAGTGTTCGATATTCTGTTGTATTTTACGGATTGCAACTTTATTTGATTTCTGAGTATTTCGTGCCTCAGAGGATGCAGGGATCTTGAACCCAGAAAAGAGGAGATTCTTCAGATGACTAGGAAAAAGGTGATGAATAAATGTGTTTGTATGACATCCTTTTATTTGTTAATACCTCTGTAGCAAAAGAAATAAATCGTGAACGTGTCTTAGGACTCTTAGGTTTTTTACCCGTCTTTGAGCTCTAGTGTTTTATAGTAAATTTGTGTTTCACAGGAGACTGCCAAGAACAACGCCGCCTCGGATTCTAAAGTCCATGATGTGGGCATTGAGGGTAGTGATAGATTCATGCTGTAAGTTCACACCTTAAAGCTCCTAACTTAAACTATGCAAACTTCTTGCTTCTTGGTAACAGAGACTTGGGGAAAGGGATGGTAGAGTTGTTTAATATTTAATAGGATTGACATAACATATCTAGCAGCTCTCGGTGTGATTAAATCTTAGTGGAATTTCTGGAATGATAGGACTTGTGGTCATTTTAGCTCCAGAAGATGAAGAACCTTAAAAGAGAGTTTGGGATGACTCAAGCAGAAATGTATCTACGTGATAGAGTATAAGAATCCCCTGTTTTGATAGATAAGCAGCTATATATTTTTCTTAAGAAAACCGGACGCTGTGAGGTAATTAAACTCAATATTAGGAGAAATTTCTGTCTTATTTTTTTGGCTTCAAAGGATAGAAGCCATGGAGATGATGGTGTGTAGTCGGTGGTGAGTATTATCTGATGACTATTTATCTTATCCGACTGGAAGCTGCCAAACGAGACCTTAGTGAGATAAGGTTTTGTTGTCATCGTTGTTGTTGGACTTTTTGTTAAAATTGTTTTCCGAGTAGTGGCTGATCCCTAACTGAGAATTTCTTTTTTCCCTGCAGTCTACCGAGAAAGTTGGTTCTAGGCAAGTGCCCTTTTAAATTTGATGTTTCGCGACTGGCCGTGATTCCATCGACTCTGCATTTGATGGTGGCAGTATTTGGTTTATGTCTTTTCTTCGTGCTAGGCCAACAAATAATCAGTTAATTGGGTTGTGTAACCAGAAAAGCGTCAGATTGTGAATTAATTGCCTTGAGTTAATTACTTGGCTCGCTTTCCAAATATTTTGGAGAGAGCTGTTTGTGATTTTGTACGTACATTGTTGCGTTTACCTTGGTTATTCATCCTAATTGTTTGTGTTATTCAATGTTGGAATTCTCAATTGTATTTTGTTTTTTGGGTAATACTAGAGAGACTAAATTTATGGACAAAATTTTGTAAACTAAATTACAGGAAGTTGACGATTGGATTATTGTTTAAGCGTTGATAAACATGCTTTCTCCTATTGATGACACATTATTTGATTTGCAAATTTAGTCTTGGTAGCGTTGCCTTTTGTTTCTTCATCATACTCTGGAAGGGCCCCGCACTCGCAGTGTGTGTGAGGAGCTTCAACCGTCATTGTGTTTTTATTGTTGCATCCATCCTTCCATGGTTTATTTGTGGACAATCAATCAAAAACAAAAACTTTGGTCAAGATGGAAAAGAAAACTTTCAAGGGCCCCGCGCTTGTTCTTGTGGCACCAAGCATGAACGGCGGCAACTCAAGCAGTTTCTCATGGGGCTTAATAAGTCTTTCTCGATATTCGGGATCAAATTCTCTTGTTAGACCCTTTTCCCACTGTTCGCCAAGCTAGCTCCTCGGTTTCTCAGGCTGAAAAACAGCGGTCGTTGGGCTCCCTTGCATCAATTTCAGGGTGATAGGATCAGTGAATTACTTATTCACTAATACTAAGCAATTAAAATTACTGTTATGTTAGTTTGTTAGTTTGTGGAATGTCCAGCTGGCACCTTGGTGGGGCTAAGTCTTTAAATAGAGCAATAGCTCCCTCTCTCTTTTGTAACGGTTATGAACTTTTATTAATTAAAAATACATTTCTCTTCTTTATTTTTTAAATTATTAACTTTTTCACTATTTGTATAATGACACGTGGTGTACTACTTCGTGTGCCGATCACACTGAAAAATCTCTCCAAGCAAACTGACCTTTTGTCCTCGTTTGGGACACATGTCCTTCTGTCGGGTGCGGAAAAAATAATTTGGCACACAGATTCGATTCTCGAACATATCCCGGTCTCTCTGTCGTAACTCGCGCGCCTAATTTACATGCAAGATCAAAGTGATTTTGTTCCTTTTTAGCCAAAGCATTAGTGAGATTTTTCCTTCTTAAAAAAAAAAAAAAAAATAGACAACCAAACAAACAAAAGAAGATGAAGGAGATCCGTCGATTGAGGTCTCCGTCGATCCTGGTTTGCTTTTTTTGGTAATTTGAGATCCTTCAAGAGAGCCCTCTAAGGAGATCCGTCGAGTTTTTACTTAATTTGGTTCCGGTTTCGGTTTTTATTGTTCATTCTCAAACTTGGATTTTTCTGCATTTTGGTTCTAGATTTTTGATTTTCTGCCTTCTGAAATTCTGCAATAGGTTTTTCAATTGGATCAAGAAATGGACTCGTGGACCCGTTGGAACCAACCCGTTTCAAATGGTCCGGTTCCATTTTTTAAAAAGAAAACTAACGAAAAGTACAACAAAAACTTTAATTTTAACGAAGAATGACAAATAAAGGTGTAATGAATAGTTCTAAGGAGAGGTAAAAATATGATTTTTCGTTAAAAGTGAACAGTACTAAGAGTTTCGTTAGAACACCATTTTTTAAAAATGTGACTACTAGCCCAGCTCAGCCTCGTCCCGTTTTATTTCCAAATAGGGGTAATAGTCCAGTTTCACTAAATTTGGGTCCGGCCTGGCCTGTGCCCCCTAGTATGAACACTATTCAGATTTTTTTTTCGCAAATCAAACTCAAATAAAAGGGACAGTAGAAGGGACCAAATTATGAGAACTAACTAGAGGTGCAGATGTTATAGAACAAGCAATGACATAGTGGGTGCAAACAAGTGGTTAGTGCCCTAAACTGCTATGGTATATATTTCTTCCAACTCAACCATCTGAAGTCGTTTCGTACTTTAAAAGGTGGTTAGCCTATTTGTATTGGTACAGAAACCGGATGAAAAAATTTTGTCTTCTCGATTTGGATTTGAGATTTCTTCAAATATCGGAAAGTGACGCCATATTAAGAGATTTCTTCAAATATCGGATGAAATTTTTTTTTTCTGTTACACAATCTAATAGATGGATATTTGTTTGTATAAGAAGTATACAACAAAAACGAATACCATCACTTGGACACATACAGGCAATGGGTGGAATGCTGCAGCCAGTCGCCTAAGCTCATACTTAGGGGGCCACTTCTGAAGAACCCTCTTGCTTGATTTTCTGCAGCAAAACAAGAAATGCTCAGGAAACCTTATGGGCTACAAAAACCAAAGAACCAATTTGAATGTAGTGATGGCAAAATTGGTTTTACAATCTCACGAGGGAAATTGTTATTAACAGTCCAAAAAGGTCATCTGACACACCTCCTTCCTTTATTTTGTAATTAGTGACAAGAACAGATGTTAAATATTCAGCGTACTCCTCAGCACCAACCATCGTAATCTGTAAACTTGAGGCTTCTCACTGTGTGTGTGTGTGTGTTGGGTTTATCTCCAGAAGATGATGAACCGTTAAAAAAGAGCGTCCACAATGACTCAAAACCAAAATGTATTTATTTGATCAGTATAACTGCAGTTTCCTATCGATCAATATGTTATAACAGCAGTTTAACAAAGCCAACAGAAGAATCTGGCACTGTCATATTGGAATGCCTATCATCATAAGGAGCAAGGCTTCCATGAAAGTTTACACATGTGGAGAGGTGCAAGATAGATTAAGGGTTATTGTGCCAATTCACACATTAAAAAAAGAAAAAGAACAGTTCAGCTAAAGTCTACCTCTGTTTATCTAGAAGCAAGAAATGTGCATAAGTTAGATTAGAAAAAGGAATGAACTTACATCATGGAGATGAAACCATCTAAGGCATTGTTCTTCTTGGCTCTCCCCTGTGAAATAACCCAATTTTATTATTAAAAACAAGAGCTCACAGATGAGTAAAAAGCTTGTCGACCAAAGAAAAAGACAAGTAAAAAACTTGGGGCTTGTTTGGTTTCCTTCTCGGATCCAATTTTCTGTTTTCACAAATGATGAATATAGCTAAATTCCTTCATACTCATTAGTCTCAAAAAAAAAAAATGGCTTCTATTGATAAAAGGTATTTAACAAAGAAAAAGATATCGTATAGATGTATCATGTATATGTAGTCACCTTTTTATGAGCCAACCGAAAACTCTCCTCTTCTTCAGGCTCAAAATCCTCACATTTTCTGAGACATGAAATACTCTGACATCAAATGAAGTTGCAATAAACCATATACCAAAATTTTGGAATATTGAACTTAATATTACAAAGAAGAAACAAAAAAATGGAGGAGAAAGTATGAACTTACGGCATAAAGCTGAAACAAATACGAAGTGTACCAGAATGTCCTATGTGGAAATCACAGACGCTAGAATCCAAAGTCTTGATATGCATTGTTTCATCATCACACACAATTTCGAATGTGGTGATAAACATCTCTTGAGGCTCATCCAAATCAGTGGAGATAGATTGAAGAAGGCAGAACTCCAACTTCCCCAAATGGACCAAATACTCTGTTGGCCTAGAGATACGACCAGATTCCGTACTGTCCGCAACCCTACTCTCCAGTCCTGGCAAAAAGAATGGTTCCTCTAGCGAATAGGTAATACGGCCATCATTCCCTATTTTCATCTTAAGCGAGAACGCTATAACCTTTCCCCATTGTATAGATAAGGCATATATAGAATTGCCTACAACCACGGCCCTCCCTCGAAAAGCAGAATAATAAGCTTCCTTTCTAGATATATCAACTTGATGCCAGGTATTACTGTCTATATGAAAAACCATGAACTCAAATCGAAAATTGTATGTTGAAACCAAAATACATCCATGACAAACAGCATAACCTGATATCTCCATCTTGGACCGTTCCCGAGAATATGCAAAATGAGTAAGAGATTCCCAAGAATCAGTTTTGGAATCATACCGCTCAAACAATACCTTCGGCATCACTCGGAAGCACTGTGGAGATGCAAGATTATAAAGCTTTCCGTATGCAGACATAAGATATGAAACTGGCTTAGGTGCTAAAGGAGGCTCGAATGTTTCCAATGACCTAGTCTCTGTGTCATAAATTTGTCCCCTATATGAGCCGAGCTTGTCATCAGCGGGGAGGTTATGACGAGGTAAGAGTCCTTTATTTAACACTAGGTGTAATTTAGAGGAGTTGTGCAATCTCGCACCCTCAAACCAACAAAACTTGGGGAGTACAAACTTAAACTCAGGTTCAAGTATCTTAGGTCGCATCACTTCTCCTCCCTGTTGGATTTTTATTTCATATAATCCAGCTTCACATGGACCACATGCAAATTCCACGAGTATAAATACCGATCTGGCTTCCCCCTCCTCCATAGATGTGCTGAAAAACAACAATAATGGTGCAAGTCAAATATTTTTTCCAAAACAACAATAATGGGTCGAGACTCGAAGAAGGTGGGCTGAAGAGAGACAGAGTCGAGAGAGATGAGAGGGTTCGAGTCCAGAGGACAGAGGAGCGGAAGGAGGCGGACTGGCGGAGTCTCCGAAATTCAGAATGACAGAATGACACAGGATTGCGCTCCCTAAATTCGAAATCCGACGGTCCACGTTATCCAAGTTTTCGGGATCGGTTTGGTTTTGCGTACCCAACTTTTGGGATATTTGGTTCGGTCGTTTTTCGTTTAAATTCGTGATGAACCAATATGTATGCCATATATTTTGCCCTTTTATATTTCGCTTTTTGTATTTGTGATACTCTTGCCATAGTGTGTTTCTAGGAAAAGCGGAACTGAGTTTAGAGCAATTCCAGTGTGGGAGTCCTCTCCCCAGGCTATCCACTATGCTATTCATCCAATGAACAGTAATTACTCCTTAATGAACAGTAATCGCCTTTTGCATCTCCACCCCTACACTGAATAGTCCTGGCAATTGACAATAAAATATTATTATTTATAATTAATATTATATTATTTACTTTGTATAAATTAATATTATATTATTAATTTATCTTTTCCTTTTGATCTTTCCGAAACTTCTACCATTTTTCTTTCTTCTTCCTTCCCACTTCTTCCTTCCCGAAATTTTCTTCCTTGCACTGCAAATTTATGTTTTACAACTCCAAATTTGATTTCGTTTTTTCTTACAAATTTCTGGAGAAGAGCACTGCAAGGTAATTGACTTTTGGGTTTACCGCAGATTTTGATATTTTGTGTGCTTTCTGTTTCGTTTTTCCAGAATCCGGCGAGCTCCGTGACCAATCCCGACCAAGCTCGACCACGGTTGTTACTTACAGTGGTAAAATCTTGTTCCTTTTCATTTTAGCATCATTTTTGTGCTTAAATTACAATTTTTAATGGAGTTTTAAGTCGAGATCGGAATCGGGATGAATCCCTACCAAATATTCCGGTGTTCTCCCTTGAGGGTTCCGGTGACCCATGTTTTAAATCGTGGCTGACGTCGCCCAGACGTCAGCCTTGCATCATGTTGCCTTCGGGCTCTCGAGCTAGCAACTCGTGCCAGGCCTGTCCCTCGGGCTGCCACACGCTGGACCAAATCCATCAGGCTCTCTGGCCCTGTTCAGCCCCTGTCCCCCGAGCAAGAGCTCCCGCTGGAGCTGCTCTTAGTGGAAAAGTATGCAAACGGTAGAGTGATTCTAATTGGAGTCAAGTTTAAGAAATGAGCCTTTTAAGGACAGCTCATTCATTGAGATTTAAGGAAAGTTTGGAGGCAAGAAAAATGTTAATTGAAATCAAATTGTAATCTGCTTAAGATTATAATACCCGTTACAGATTGTTTTTCCTTCTTCGTTAGTTGGAATCAAATTGTGCTATATTGTATTTAAACAATGAAAAACAACTCTTACGTCTCAGCAAGGAAAGGGAAAAACAACTCTTACGTCTCAGCAAGGAAGAAACTATGCTGATGGTCTTCCAACTGCGTAGTTGTGACATCTCTGATGTTAGCAAAACCTCGTTCCACTTTGGTGTATAGGTTCAGAGAATTTAGAATTGACTCCCCCACTTCAATATACCATGGACCTGATAAAAGAAACAAAACGACACAAAAAATCAGAAAAGTTGTCACTTAGGGCCCAGAAATGTCTGAATTCTTACAAAATATCACCTGAACTTTTAGGTCCATGTGGAAATGAAGATAACTAATAAGAAAATTATCAAACATTTAGTTGCTTGATACAAGTCGAAAGTTGATTCCGCCAATTCAGGGCGCAGAGGATAATACTTTTCTGTGGGATGCAACGTTGATGGTCCAACAAATACCTACATTCTTTTACAGTTCATATTAGACAGTTTTCTTTTCTTTTTTTTTTTTCCTTATAAGAAATACTGCGGTAACCTCTCTGGTATTACTCCACACTTTTTCAATACATTGCAGCTGCAATATCGCCAACATGAACCTAAATCATAGTTCGTATCTCAGGATTAGAAGACTCTTTCTGAGGTTGAAGTCATTATAGACCAGTATGACAAGTTTTAGATTCCCTCCCTCTAAGCCACGCCAAAATGCCTGAAGGCTTGTAAGCTGCCAATACGTTGCTTTTCCTGTCCTCATATCAGCTTCATGGTAATATGCGTTACCACAAAAACTTTGCAGCCTACTCATCTCAATTTAATCTTACAGCTAGAATCCAAACTTTTAACACTTGCAAAGTACCAATAATGAATTGAATAAGGCATTCAAAAAGGCTAGGAAGAAATGTTGTACCATGGACCATGTCTGAAATATTTCTGCACAGCAGAATGAAACATCCTCCAGAACTCATTTCCAACAAGGATGTGGCCCTTAAATAGATAGTCATCCCCTAAACGAAGAAACACATAATCCAACATCAGAAACATCAAACTCTACGCACTAAAAATACATTTAAGGAATGGGCACGGCAACAGATTGCACAAGGAAATATTGGCCCTTGTACTATTTGGGAAACCCAGTAAACTACTAAATATACTTGTAATGCGGTGCATTAAAGACCTCAAAGCCCCGACGAAACCTACCAGCTCCAATTCCGGATGAATACACAATCCATTCACCAGTTGATACATCCAGCATTGTACCGAGTAAATTCAACGAACTCCACGTGCCCCATAATTCACAAAGAGCACATAAAGCTGCCGATTCATATTTGGGGTCTCCAGTCAATCGGGACAATGCTCCTATTCCCAGAATTAGAGAACATGAATTCATACGAAAAATCATGAGATTCAGGAAAGTCAAATTTATTGATGTCCTCATCTGAATAACGCAAAAGAAAGCCCCTCACCGCACCCTGAAGTGCTAATTTCAGTAGTCTCTTTCTCCATCACTCCATCCACACTGTCCACAGAATTTAGCATTGATGCGGAGTCATATATCCTTCTTACAAAGAAAACCATCAAACAATTTTGTATAGTTTTGAAACTTGAAAGGTGAACTCTTGAAATGATTATGCAAGATACAAGTACACATAACTGTATCTTGAGACTGATGATGCTGAAGTAGAAAGAATCGTATCATGCATGCATCGCAAAAGTCACCATGTAATTAAACATTGGAGCTCAGCATGCCTCAGACGTTACCTGTATGTTAATCCATGCATATGGCAATCCAGTGGGTGTGTTAAACGCAGGTAGGAAGCGTTTCCCTAAGTCCTCAGCCAAGGTAAGCAGCTGATTAAACTCCTTGACCCAGCCTGTTTGTCGAATCAGTCGGAAGTAAATGAGCTGAAACAAGCCCTCCAAGTACTCTTATGTTGCACCACATAGAGCAATCAAGTGAAAAAGAGAACCAGAACGACAATAAATATTGCTTTTGAATATCAGAGTAACTTAACCAAAACAAGCTTTTCGACAAGCTCGTCAATAGATACCTCAAAGAGATTTACCCTCGCATTGACATTGAATTTCAAATTCTTGAGGAAGGTCAAACAATTGCACTTTCAAATTCAGTGTTGTTACCCATAATGACAAGGCTGAGAGAATTTTTTTGCATCAGAATGACGGGCGGACAAATTATATGATACAGCATGAAGAAAACACCAAAGTTGAGGATAACGTTGCAATAACTTAAAGCATATATACTTAAGATTACAGAATAACAGAAGCGTATATGTGCCATAATCTGTCAAACCTGGACAACGATTCTATAAGTGTCAGAGCGGATCCACTATAGTCTTGATAAGTATTCAAGCTGAAATAGGGTAAGGAAACATTTTAATTTACTTTTGCAAGTTGCAATTAATCATAATTCATTTATCTACAGATATATAGCTACCTTCAGATTTCCAAGTTCACCAAGAGAGTCGGTGAAACTTTTACCAAGAAACGAGTCTGAGCATCATACAAACGAAAGAGCAAAAGCTACAAGAAATAATGAATAAAAACTAACAGAATCAGCCAAAACAAACTCAAATCAGTAAAACCAGAAATTCTGGATCAAAACCCCAGATTTCTGATCAATATTACAGATACCCAAGCAGCTCATGTTCTCACCCAATAACAACTTGACAAGTGTTCAAGTTGTTTGTTCAGGCTCTATTTTTTTGGACGCTTGTCAATTATTATTGAGTGCGTTTTTGTTTAAGCAGCCAAGCTTTGTTGTTTTCAGTGATAGGAGTTTTTATTTTCTTTTGATAATAATAAGGATGCACTAATAAAAAGTGATCAAAATTGAGTTTGGACCGCAAATTCTTGAGTTCCATTTTGGATTAATACTAACTTGTATTTAGATATTTAAGGAATGAAATCAAGTTTTATGCTGCAAATTCTTGAGTTGCATTTTAACTTTTATTTAGATTAATACAAACTTATTTCCGACCCCAGTTTTTTACTTTTCTACCCTAATTTCTTCCTTGTTTCAGACCCTAACATTTTACTTGTACCCTAATTTTTTCCTTATTTCGGACCCTAATTTCTGTTACTTGGTCAAAGCCTAGGGCTACATAGTATCTTGGTGTGCAAGAAGACGCAACCCTAGGGTAGAGACTATCTACTATCTCTTGCCTTATAAATATTAGGCTTGGGCGCTTGGCCTGCTTGTACTTTAGTTTTATCTGCTCTAAAATTTTTCTTTTCGACTGTCTCTAACCATGAAGGCAGAAGTTGGTCCGTCAGAGTCAGATGGTGGCTCATCGGAATTATATTGTAAGATTCTTTAATTCTTTTAAGTTTTACGGCTGCTCCAATTTGTCTTTTCTATGTGTTCCTTTTCATACTCGTGCATGGCGTTGTGCCTGCTGCCATCAATTTACGTATTAAATCATTAACGCCATTAAATATTGTTTTCTGGCAAAAGTAATTTAATTATCTGTGATTAATCCTACTCTAACTCCACATAATCTTCATATTTTTTGTAGTTAAATTTGTAGGCTACACAAAAACAACAAATTAACGATAGAGGCAACTTTTCAGGATTCCCTCAATGGCGCAATTCTTCCTCATATATCAACATTTCGCTAGCGTTCTAGTTGAGATTTGTATGCGTGGCTCTGGCCATTGTCACCGATTGGTTGCAGGCACGGTCACGGACGATGGAAAGGAAAGAGAACATGCCAACACTAATAGACAATTCGACACTGGAAATAAAAGAGTTGCAGCCAGAAAATAACAAGGGCACTAAGAAGAAGAAATGATAATGGGGAGAGAAATATCTACAACAACAACAACAACAACAAAGCCTTTTCCCACTAAGTGGGGTCGGCTATATGAATCCTAGAACGCCATTGCGCTCGGTTTTGTGTCATGCCCTCCGTTAGATCCAAGTACTCTAAGTCTTTTCTTAGAGTCTCTTCCAAAGTTTTCCTAAGTCTTCCTCTACCCCTTCGGCCCTGAACCTCTGTCCCGTAGTCACATCTTCGAACCGGAGCGTCAGTCGGCCTTCTTTGCACATGTCCAAATCACCAGAGCCGATTTTCTCTCATCTTTCCTACAATTTCGGCTACTCCTACTTTACCTCGGATATCCTCATTCCCAATCTTATCCTTTCTCGTGTGCCCACACATCCCACGAAGCATCCTCATCTCCGCTACACCCATTTTGTGTACGTGTTGATGCTTCACCACCCAACATTCTCTGCCATACAACATCGCTGGCCTTATTGCCGTCCTATAAAATTTTCCCTTGAGCTTCAGTGGCCTACGACGGTCACACAACACGCCGGATGCACTCTTTCCATCCAGCTCGTATTCTATGGTTGAGATCTCCATCTAATTCTCCGTTCTCTTGCAAGATAGATCCTAGGTAACGAAAACGGTCGCTTTTTGTGATCTTAGCTAGATTGCTCCGGTCATTAGTGTGGATAAGTATATAAATGGATAGAGATAGGAAAGCAAACACAAGATGTACGTGGTTCACCCAGATTGGCTACGCCCACGGAATAGAAGAGTTCTCATTAATTGTGAAGGGTTTACACAAGTACATAGGTTCAAGCTCTCCTTTAGTGAGTACGAGTGAATGATTTAGTACAAATGACATTAGGAAATATTGTGGGATAATGATCTCGTAATCACGAAACTTCTAAGTATCGGAGTGTGGTGTCGTCTTGACTTGCCTTATCTGTCTCATAGGTAGATGTGGCATCTTCTCTGGAAGTACTCTTCCTCCATCCAGGGGTGGTATCTTTAACTGGTGGAGATGCACAAGGTAATGTATCAATTTCACTTGAAGCTTACTTGTAGTTTCAGGCTTGGTCAAGCGCGATACAAACCATGTAGTAGGAGTCCCCCAAGTCGCCGAGCTAGGGGGTTTGCTGAAAGAGGTGACAGACAAGGTAAGCAATCAGAGCTCCGACTGATTGTTCACCTTCTCCCCATCTTGCAGCAGCATGAAGGATAAAGAGAAGAAAAATGAGAAGAGATGATATGAGATACTTTTGCTTTTGAAGAAGTAACTTTCCACAGGCTTATTCTTGAACTGAGCTGGAGGGTTTTCTGGTTTCCTCCAGAGTATAAGGCCGACTGAAGAATTTGAGGGTCAAAACAAGTCCATCAAATCTAGAGTACGTTCCACCCTGCTGATATGGGATACTTTTGCTTTTTGACAAAGTAAATGGATGTATCGGCACGTGTGCTGTTACGCTTGTCTCCACATGCTTCCTTGTATCCTTCGCACTTGCCCTATCTGTTCCTCAAGCAGATGCGGAATCTTCCCTGGAAACATAAGATGATGAAGATGAGTACTCGAGAGCAATGCCAGGGAAGTAATCAGGTAAGGGGTTCCAGGCAGTCAATTCCTGGCTGGAAGCTTGATTCCAAGTACTGACTGATTGCTCTCTTTCTCCTTGTCTTGCAGGTAAAAATAAGGCCAAAAGAAAAAACAGGGAAAAAGCATGATATGAGATACTCTTGCTTTTAACCCTGATGATATGAGATATTCTTGCTCTAGTATAGCTTGTTTGCAGAGGTATTATCGGGGGGAAAGAAAGCTGAATATTTCGAAAGGCTTTGTTGGGAGTGCCCTCTCAGATATGATGAAGGGTTGAGCATTTTTGCAGGTCTGCCTGTCCGTTGGGGATGGAGGTCGACATATATAGGAGTCTCCCTAACAACAAGTAGTAATGCTATTCCTTTACCCTGCTTGGTCATAGCACGGTAGTGGGAGCTGCCAGTTTCACATGTTTTAACTCTGTCAGAGCACTTTGAAAAAGTGGTCTGTGGTATCTGGCTCTCGAGATTCGGAGAACGATGCCTCTTCGATTTTTGAGAAAGCAATCATGCTGGGGGTCTGACTCTCGAGATTCGGAGAGCAGTGTCTCTTCGATTTTTGAGGAAGTAATCATGTTGGGAGTCTGGCTCTCGAGATTCGGAAGGCGGTGCCTCTTCGATTTTGGAGCAAGCAATCTTGTTGGGAGTGTTGTCTCGAATGTGAGTAAAGGTTGGACATGTTTGCTAGTCTACCTTGCCACGAAGCACAAAGGTTGACACACAGGGACTTTCCAATTATCCAGCAATGGTACTGTTCCTTTACCCTCTCTTCGATTTTGAGAAAGTAGTCATGTTGGGAGTCTGGCTCTCGAGATTCGGAAGACGGTGCCTCTTCGATTTTGGAGCAAGCAATCTTGTTGGGACTGTTTTCTCGAATGTGAGTAAAGGTTGGGCATGTTTGCTAGTCTACCTTGCCACGAAGCACAGAGGTTGACACACAGGGACTTTCCAATTATCCAGCAGTGGTACTGTTCCTTTACCCTTGTGGGTAATAATATGGTAGCTAGACCTTCAAAATTTATGTGTCTAAACTTTGTTAGTGCTGTTTCTTTGCTATTCTTTTACCTTTCTTGGTCAGAGCGATGTAGTGGGAGCTGCAAGCTTCACGTGCTCAACTTTGGCAGAGAACTTTGGCAAAGTGATCTGTGGTACCCATGAGTTATTGTTGCGTGTAGGAAGTGGGTGATTGAACAGTAAGATTCATGTGCTTTCTACTTCACCAGAAGTCTTCGACAAAAATGCCCATAATTTCTGCAAAGCTGAGTGTGCGTGTGACAGGTGCTGACAAGGCTAGAAAAGTAGGTGCCTCTTCGATTTCTGAGATCGGCCCTCGTGGTCTCTGAGCAGCCCAGCTTTTGAGAAAGCGAGCGCCTCTTCGATTGATTCGGAGAACGGTGCCTCACCGATTTTTGAGAAAGCAATCATGCTGGGGGTCTGGCTCTCGAGATTCGGGGAGCAGTGTCTCTTCGATTTTTGAGAAAGTAATCATGTTGGGAGAGTGGCTCTTGAGATTCGGAGGGTGGTGCCTCTTCGATTTTGGAGCAAGCAATCTTGTTGGGAGTGTTTTCTCGAATGTGAGTAAAGGTTGGGCATGTTTGCTAGTCTACCTTGCCACGAAGCACAGAGGTTGACACACAGGGACTTTCCAATTATCCAGCAATGGTACTGTTCCTTTACCCGCTCTTCGATTTTTAAAAAAAGTAGTCATGTTAGGAGTCTGGCTCTTTAGATTCGGAGGACGGTGCCTCTTCGATTTTGGAGCAAGCAATCTTATTGGGAGTGTTTTCTCGAATGTGAGTAAAGGTTGGGCATGTTTGCTAGTCTACCTTGCCACGAAGCACAGAGGTTGACATACATGGACTTTCCAATTATCCAGCAGTGGTACTGTTCCTTTACCCTTGTGGGTAAATAATATGGTAGCTAGACCTTCAAAATTTATGGGTCTAAACTTTGTTAGTGCTGTTTCTTTGCTATTCTTTTACCCTTCTTGGTCAGAGCGATGTAGTGGGAGCTGCAAGCTTCACGTGCTCAACTTTGGCAGAGAACTTTGGCAAAGTTATCTGTGGTACCCATGAGCTATTGTTGCGTGTGGGAAGTGGGTGATTGAACAGTAAGATTCATGTGTTTTCTACTTCCCCAGAAGTCTTTGACAGAATGCCC